GCCGAGGGAAAAATCCACACGTCCGAGCGATGCCAAGCTTGAGGACCGCGTCCCAGAAAGGATTTCTCGAGCACCCCGAGAAGTGAAGTGCCGAAACGGTGCCGCGCGAGTGTCGCCTCCCAGGGCGCGACACGCGAAGACCATCAGGCTTCGGAACTTTCGTGGTGATCAGGGCTATAAAGCAGGCTGGAACCTCAGAAGGCCAGATGGAGCGCCTGCCCCCCCCCCCCCCCCTTGCGACCCTGGCCGAGGGAACGCAGCCTGGACCCTCGGCACGGCGCTACAGTCGGGGCGTTGACCTAAGGAACCCTAAATAATGAACGAGGCCCCTATTTTCCATAAGTTAAACTTCGATTTCAGATCGAAAACATAAGGAACACCTAAGGCACACCTAAGGCAAGCTGCGAAACAATTAAGGAACACGGAGCCCCTCCCCAATGAGAAGGGTTCCTTCTTCAGCGCCCCGACTGTACACACTGCGGCCCGATACGTCAGTCGGGCGCAGAAACACTTCAACAGCCGCCGCTCTCGAGCAAGGGCACACGCACGGTGCTCTGGGCGGGACGGCGGACCGCGTTCGCCCCGCGCTGCCCTCCCTGAGACCAGGCCCTGCCAGCATCGTCGCCCAACGCAGAGGACTACGGCTGGTCACCTCGGCGCTGCCGCGGCACGTCCCGATGGTTCGCCATGAAGGTCCAAGAGTGCTCAAAGTGGATGATTGCACTGCTGCCACGCCGATGGGACGACAAATCAAGACTTGACTTGGTACGTCGGCCCAGATATGGGGCTCCTGGCCTCATTTGGCACAGCAGCCTTGGGAAAAACCAAACGGTACCGATACAACTACTCTCCGGACCTCTCATGGGGTACCTTCTGATCCTCATTTCGAGGCGAACGCATCCAGCAGTGGCGGCAAGGGCTTTTCAGGAAGCCCCAAAAGGCGAAAACAAGGGAAGTTTGGCGGTAACCGCATACCGCGGATGATCAAGGTGACCCCCCCCTTCACCCCTATCTGATTATCCACTGGGTGTATGTGGATTCAAATTGGGAGTCGAACTTTGGGCGAGCTCTATAATCACCCCCAAAACTCGCATCGTCGTTCGGAGCCTCAATTCATGCATGGCACCATGAGTAAACCTGATTATCAATTTCGTGACCTCCAGGAAAAAATGCATTAGCCTCCCAGGACCCCGAATCTTCTTCTAATTACCCAGGGTGTGATTCCCACCGGCATAGGGTTATCGGTGTCTTTTCCACTTCTGACGTCTGGCACCTGCCCGCCTTCCTGACCGGGCCGGGCCGGCCGCGGATGCGGCACTGGGCTCGCGCGCGCCCTTCCAGCCGGTGTCAAGCCCAACGCTGCTGGCGGCTCCTCTGAATAGGCCTGGGAAATGGCAGGGCCGATTTCTCACCGTTTCCAAACAACCGTCTCTTGAAAATGGAAGCGACCAAAAAACTGCGACCGGAAACGGTAGAAAAACGACTCCGGGATTGGCGCCAGAACCGGAACCAAAAAAACAACTGCGACCGAACCCACAATCAAACGGCGAAAGAACCGGCGACACAAAGGCAAAACAGAACACGTAAAAGAACGGCTCTGTCGTTCCCAGGGCCGAATAAAAAGCGGCACTCCCGCTTTCCCATGGTCTCCGCTTGTCAGTCCTCGACCACATCAGTAGCAAACTTCGAGGGACAAGCAATCACAGAAACAATGAATCATAAACTTTCGAGGAGCACGCAATGGCAAACACATGAACACTCGGAGGTCCGCGCGGACCTTCGAAAGTCTGTGTTCATGCGATTGTTCGGTCCTCGATGCAAGGCGCTCGACCGTAGCAATCAAGTTACACACTTGCCGGCAGCAACCAGTTCTACATTGGCCAGGTGCCGGCTTGCCAGCTACCCGTCGCTTCCTCGCCTTCTGTCCCTCCTCTAGAAAAAAAAAGGACGACATAAACATGAACTTTTGGCGCTCCGCGCGGATTTCGTGGATCTGCGCCAGACCCCCCTCCCTGGCGCGTGGAGCGCGCCAGGGGCGACGCCGGGGGGGGGGCCAGCGTGGATCCAAGATATCCGCACGGAGCGCCAAAGTTTATGTTTATGCTTTGGTCGGGCATGTCCCCCTGAAGGCGGATTTTGGAAGACAATTGAAACATAACCAAAACATTGTAACAAAATGAAGATATTCTAGATCAAATCGTCCCCAGACTACTTTTAGACTATTTCTGGAGATTCCTGCTGCTGGGGGACATGCCCGACGTAAGTCTATGCCGTTTTCTATTCTTCGATCCTCTCCCCTTCGCTACCCCCTGCGCTCCGAGGAGCGCCGCCGGGGGAGCCCTGTGCACGGCTCCATCTTCCGGATGCTGCCGCCACGGGGGGAACAGCGGGGCCGACCGACCTCTTCAGCGTCGGGTCGGGGGGCGAGCCTGGCGGTGGCGAGAGCGGTGACTCCCAGAGCAGGGGAAAGAAGAATGACATGAACATAAAGCCTCGGAGGTCCTCGCGGATCTCTCGGATCGGCGCTGGACCCCCCTCCCTGGCGCGCGGAGCGCGCCAAGGGCGGCGCCGGAGGCGCCGCCACGGGGTCCAGCGCGGATCCGAGAAATCCGCGCGGACCTCCGAGTTGTTCTGTTTGTGTCATTCTGCCTTCCTCTGCGGAGGTCTGTGCGCCACCCGCCTGGCTCAGCCGCAGAAGGAGCACGCATCCACAATGCGGCGGCGAGCGGGGGGGGGGAAGTGAGAGGGGGCGGGCCTTCTCAGAGGGCGCGGAAGTCCGCTGGCCTTCCGAGAAGCTTTCGAAGCCTCCCCCGAAGAAGACACGAGGAGCTTCTCGGAGGGCGCCGTGCCGCCTGTGCCCGCCCCGGGGCTGCTTCACACGCCGCCCGCGGCGCTGCTCCTGGTGCGCGCCTCGGCCGACCACGGGCCGCTCGCTTGCCAGGCCGCTCGCTGCTTGCGACGCCTCCTGCTCGGCGTTCCGCCGAACCCTTCCCCGGGCCGCCGCCCTCGGCGCCCATTTTCGCCTCCCCGCTTGCTCGCTTTGGCGGTCCGCGCTCCCTCACTGCTCTCCCCCGAGCCCGCTGCTCCTGCACGCGCCCGACTCTACCTCGCGGAGGTCGGCGCTTCGACTTTGGGCGGAAGGGGGGGGGGGGGAGGGGGGGGGTCTGGCTCCAGACCTTTGCTCAGTGCGACCGTTTGCCACAGTGCGTCCCAGGGGGTCGGCTCCACCTGCTCGGGGGGAGGTCGGGAGCGGCAAAGAGGGGGGCGTCCAGGAGGGGGGGGGTGCAAATCATGGCCGGCGGCATGTGCGCGGCCCAGGAGGGGGGGCCAGGGACGTAATGAAATAAGAAGAGGCGCCATGAAATCTGGGGAAATATCATGGCCCACGCCATGATATCTGCCCCCCCCTGGTCATCACCCCCCTCTTGGCCGCCCCCGAGGAGGGGGAGGGGGTGCGGAGGGCCCGCCCCCGATCGGCAGGACAGCGAATGCGAGAACGATCACAGCTCCGCTCACACCGCCGAGGATGCCTGCCTCGCGGACGCTCGCTGGCCACTGAAAACTCCTCCGCGCGCGGCCCGTCGTCGGCTGCCCCGTGCACGCGGCCCACCGCGGGGGCGACGCGTGCACGCGCGTCGCGCGCGTGCTCTCGCGGCCGCGGCTCGAGCACGCGCTCGGCGCGCGCACCCGAGCGCACCGCCTGCGTCAGACGCACTTGTGGCCCACGGCGCCGGGGGAGGGCAGAAACGGTCCAGCGCGCGTGAGTGTGTGTGCGCGTGTGCGTGCTGACCCATGCGGTAGAAGAGTCCGCCCCGCCACACGGGACTCCACCTCGACACGCAGCTCGACGCGCAGACTGAGAGCGTGGATCTGGCGCGACCCGTGCGCCGACGCCGAAACTTGAGCCGACACGTGCCCAACCCACACGCAGCGTGCTCACACGGACGTGTTGAACGCGGCACGTGTTGCGTTTCAGGACGAGAGTGCCAGGGCAATTTAGCTCCTTCCACGGCCCTCTTTCGGTAAACGTTATCGCACGACTGCTGGTTCGCCCTGGCCGCCAACATCGCACACACGATTGCGGCCTCCTCGAGCTGGCGATGAAACAAGTGCGTGCGTGCATGGGAGTGCGCGCTTGTGCGTGTGCGTTTGTGCGTGTGTGCGTTTGTGCGTGCGTGCGTGCGTGCCAGCGTGTGTGTGTGTGTGTGTGTGCGTGTGCGTGCGTGTGCGTGCGTGCGTGCGTGCGTGCGTGCGTGCGTGCGTGCGTGCGTGCGTGCGTGCGTGCGTGCGTGCGTGCGTGCGTGCGTGCGTGCGTGCGTGCGTGCGTGCGTGCGTGCGTGCGTGCGTGCGTGTGTGTGTGTGTGCGCGCGTGTGTGTGTGTGTGTGCGTGCGTGCGTGCGTGCGTGCGTGTGTGTGTGTGTGTGCGTGTGTGCGTGCTGTGTGTGCGTGTGTGATTGCATTCGATTTACTCCGCCTCGTCGCTGCGCGCGAGGCCGTGACTGCTAAAAAGTGTGCGCGTGTGAAGTTGTGTTCGTGTGTGTACATGTTTGTGTTTGTGTGTCTGAGTGTGTGTGTGTGTGTGTGCGTGCGTGCGCGTGTGTGCGCTGCTGTGGGCACTGCGGACGGGGACCCAAGCAAAGACCGCTGGGGCAACACTCGACGACAGCGACGACAACAAAATAATCTGCTCAAAATCGCTCCCTGGACCGGCACGCCGGGCAACTTTTCATCCAAGATCGATCTATGGCGGCCTCGCATTCCACAACGGGCAACGACGACCCCGAGATCTGGCATCGCGAACAAAATGCAGCATGCTCGCAGGAAAAACAAGACCTGGAGACCTAGACCCGGTCGTTCTGCACCGCGTCTCAACCCGAATCTACCCCAGAGGGCCCCGAGCCCCGATACCGAGTGAGAAATCTCGTTGCAACAACCTGGCCGGCCCAGAACTTCAGACCATGCCGCCGGCGACACCGACGTCGACGGCGGCGGCGGGAAGCTCCAGCTGCCCTCCCGCGATCTTGGCGCGCAGCTTCTTCTTGAGCTCCGCCCGCGGCAGCGCGGCCACGGCAGCCACGCCGCCGTCGGCCTCCGGGCGGCCGGCGGAGTGAAAGTGACATTTTTTGTTGCACGGTCCTTACCCCAGGGGGATAACGGTAAGGGCGGCCGCGGCGTGCCACTGCCAGGGTCCGTCCGCGCCACCAGAGCATCAATCGCCCGTATGCACCACAGCATGCCGGGGAGGGGGTCCCGGCCACCCCCCCAGTAGGATCGCTAGAGCTTCCCAGAAATTGCGCTAGCATATTTTTGATTGGTGCACTCGTCTGATTCTCGATACTGTGGAAGAAGAAAACGGCGTAAACATGAACTGTTGGTGCTCCGCGCGTATTTCTTGGATCCGCGCTGGACCCCCCTCCCTGGCGCGCGGAACGCGTCAGGGGCGGCGACGGAGGCCCTCGTTTCGTTTCGTGGCCCCAGAAGGAGCTCAACCGAAGGCCCCAGCGGCAGCGTTCGCACGGCGCCGCCGCTTCAATTCCGGCACACCCATCACGCGTTTCGCAGCCCCGTGGGGAGCCATCGAAGGCCCAAGTGGCAGCGCCCGCCAGGCGGCACCCCGCGCGTTTCGGGCACCTCTCTCACGCTTCGTGGCCCCATAGGAAGCTCCCCCCGTCTTTCCACCTCCCCTGCAAGACTCACACCTGCATATACTTTGGTCCTTCGCCCAGATACTGATCAGCCCACGGAACCAATGCAGGATGACTGGTGACTTCCGATGCCTCAGGGGGGGCGGCGAACGCTGCAGGCAGCTGGTGGTGTGATCTCAGCGTGCACTTCCACATAGGCGCAGGAACCCGACTGATGCCTGCACGGCTGATGGTGTGGGCTGGCGGGGCTAGCAGAAGGCACCCACCTACCGCAAGGGGGGTCTGAGGAGTCCGCTTGCTCCTGGGTCGTCTCCCGGGATGCCTTCAGCCTGCCAGAATTTCGAAGAGAGCCCAGCCGTCCGCAGACCCCCGACGTTCTGATTCGTTCACACACTCGACACCCAAAGGGCTGGACCCACTCCCTGGGACAGGTGCTTCGTTCGGTGCCGTTTTTTTGCCAGGTGCTCGGCGAGGGCCCCCAGGGGCCAAACATAAGGATGAGCAGACAGCATGCGTGATGTCTCTGTCAAGACGCGAGGCTGGCCATCGCTCGGACGTCCATTCCCTGTGCTTTTTTTCGGTTTCGTGCGTGTTTTTTTCGCCAACTGATCAAGGATGCTTCTCGATGGTCCTCGCCGAGGGAAAAATGCACACGTCCGAGCGATGCCAAGGAGGGGGTCTGGGCCCCCCCCTGCCAAGGAGTGTTTTCTCGAGCTTCTGGCGAGTTTGCTTGCGCAGAGGGCGAGGGGGGTGGGGCGCGACGGGACCCGAAGTGAAATCTGCACTTCGCGCAAATCGCGACCCAGCCGCACGCCCAGAGGACCGCAGTGATGTCGTCATGCGCGTGGCTCAGGTTGCGTGTCCTGGCCATCGCTCGGACGTCCATTTCCCGTGCTGTTTTCGGTTTCGTGCGTGGTTTTTCCGCCAAATGATTAAGAATGCTCCTCGATGGTCCTCGCCGAAAGAAAAATACACACGTCCGAGCGATGCCAAGCCCAGAGAACCGTAGTGATGTCGTCATGCGCGTGGCTCAGGATGCGTGTCAGGAATGTCGAGTCGGGCGAAAGGGGGGATAGCAAAAGGGGGGGTTGAGAATCAGCTCACGTAGCTGATTTTCCCGGCGCCTGCCGGCGCAGGGAGGCGACTATGTATCGAGGAATGGGCCCCTCGGTGGGGCCGAAACCAGCTGCATGCAGCAGATTTCGTATCCCCCCCCCCCTTTCCCAATCCCCCCCTTTCGTCCGGCCCGAGAATGCTGTGGAGTACCCGGCGGCCCTCGTTTCTGCAGCCCGTGTGGAACATCAGGGCATGATGCCCTGAGGGCATCTGCGAGTGCCTGGGAATCCGGCAGTCGGGGATGGATCCAGAACCCCCTCTCGTAAAACGTGGTCTGGTGAAAAAACGACCTCGGGCCCCAAATCGGGCGGGCGCAGGCCTGGAGCACGACGGCCGCGACGCCCTCTCGAGAACCGAACACGAACAATTCACCAATCGGCGCGTCAGGGTGGGGGCTGTGTCCAGGCAAACGCATCCGCACTCTGACCCTCCTGCGCCTCCGAGCCTCGGCCCGGCGCTGCCTGGAGAGGAGGCCGAGCGGGGGCGGGGGGCGCGGGAGGAGGGCTGCGCAGGCAAACGGGCCAGAATCGAGCCGCGGACCCAGACATGCGACGCCCTGATTTTTGAGCAGGGACCGACCGTCCCGGCATTTCTATAGTTCGTACCACGAAATGTTCTTAGAACACAACAATGTTCCAAGAACAAAAGCAATGTTCTTAGAACCTAAACCCGATGTGTTAAAACAAGACAGCCTCCGTCAGAAATGTTCTAAGAACATTTCGTGGAAACCACAAAAGGTTATTAGAACATTCTTTGGTGGGGCTATAGGCGAGCCAGGACGCTTCGCCACTGCTTGGGATTTCTTCAATGCGGGGTCCCAGAAGTCCCCTTCCACCGGACCAGCTTCTCATCCCGAGCCGCTTTCTGACGGCCCCGAGGCCCGGCGAGGGCCCCTCGAGGCCGAAAACGGCCCAAAAACCTGCCGCCCTGATTTTTCTACGACGGCATCATGTCTGCGAACGCGCCCCCGCCGCCCCTCGGGGGCGGCCAAGAGGGGGGGGCGCATGTCATGGCCAGGGGCATGTGCGCGGCCCAGGGGCGGGGCCAGGGACGCAAAGAAACAGGAAGAGGCGCCATGAAGCCTGAGGAGATAAATGGCCTACGCCATGAGATATCCCCTCCCCCTCGTCATCAACCCCCTCTTTGCAGCCCCCGACCCATCACTGCACCGACCTTGCAGACGTGCTGCAGCGGAGTCTTGCGTGGATTTCTGCCAATTCAAGACCCCGAAACGGCGAGTGAAAAACTACCTGAATTTCGCGTGGATTTGTTCTAGTCTCCCTTCCAGGCCCAGAGAAATCAACAAAAAACTCACCTCGAAACCCGGAACGAACTCTTCTCCAAAACGCTCCGGGCCCATCCCGTCGTTCTCCGACCGAAATCCGTTTTGCGATGTTGGCGCCATGACCGACCCCCACCCTGACTCCGGATCCGCCCTACTTTGGGGAAATTCTTAAGTAGGGCTTGGAATTTCCGCCTTACGTTTCAAGCCCCGCTGATGCAAATTTCAGCCCTACTTTTCTGTTGCTGTTTCCGCCCTACTTCTGAGGGTTTCCGCTCTACTTTTATGCTGGGTGCAGAAATTTCCGCCCTACTTTTTCGGCTTCCTATAGGTGGATGTTCGACGCAATTTTAAGTTGGAAAAAAAGCCAAAGTAGGGCGGATCTGGAGTCAGGGCACGCCAGCCAGATTCCAAGGCCCGGGGCCCCGCGGCCTTGCTGTCCATCTCGGCGTCGCCCGCGCCGGCCCCTCCGCCTGCGGCCGGGGCCACAGCGCGCGCGCGGGCATCCGCGCGGAGAGCGCGGCCCGAGGGCCCGCCACAGGCGAAGGCCCCCGAGCACCTCCTCCCTGTGATGCTCCAGCCTGCCTCCTCCTCCTCCTCCTCCCTCCCTCCCTCCCTCCCTCCCTCCCTCCCTCCCTCCTCCATCCCTCTCTTCCTTCCTTCCTTCCTTCCTTCCTCCGTCCTCCTCCTCCTCCTCCTCCTCCGACCCCCTCGGGAAATGAGAAGATCGCAGCGGGAGGTTTTTTCGCACTCTCTCGGGACCGTCAGGGAACGACTCGGGATGAAAAGCCGGTCTAGGGGAATGGGCCGAGACTTCCAGAGTCGACGCCATGAAAAAATCATGACGTCGGGGTTTGGGTTTAGCCTTGATCACCACGAATAACGCCGAGCACAAGGAAAATATCGAAAATGGAGGGTTTGCACGGGGCCCTGGGAGGCGTTACTCGTTCGGTACCTTGCCAGCGTGTCGGGCAGACATTGTTTCGATTTTTCTCGGGGTGCTCGAAGTTATTTCTGGGATGTGGTCCTTAAATCATAGCCCCTTCGCGTCTCGGGAGGCAACTCCTGGGAGGTCTTCGCCAGAACGACTGAGGGCTGTTGAGCCCGATTGGGGTGACCATTGAGACAGAAGAGGCCAGATTGAGCCCGGGACTAAGCCGGATTAAGTCCGGGATTAAGCCACATTGCACGGGATTGGACCAGATTAAGCGAGACTAGCCCAGATTAGGCAAATTTTCGACCAGGGATACACTTACCGGCGCCGATTCTGAAATTAACCTCCCAGGAGTTGCATCCTAACGAACATTGCTCAGACCAGTCCCTTCTCGTCATATTCAAAGTCGTAGTGGCACGCTGCAGGTGGGACGATGCGCACTAGGAAATTCGGCTCAGCGCTAGCACTGCAACAAACACGAGCAACATGAGATGGTACCATGGATCCGTGGCTCTCTTTGCGGTGCCCACCACCATGGACCCCAGGATGATAAAGACAGGAGGCGGAAGGCAAACCGGAGGAGGAGGAGGAGGAGGAGGAGGAGGAGGAGGAGGAGGAGGAGGAGGAGGAGGAGGAGGGAGGAGGAGGAGGAGGAGGAGGAGGAGGAGGAGGAGGAGGAGAAAGAGGGGGAGGAGGAGGCGAGGACACGGATGGGAAAGCAGGACAAAGCCGGAAGGGGAGGATGCGGAAGAGGAGCAATGGGGAGGAGGAGGAGGCGAGGAGCCGACCCCATCTCGGCCCGCACAGAGCGTCGCGCGGCCTATGTACAGCTGCGGCTGCGCCCCTTGCGCCCCTCTGGCGGCGCTCGCGGCAGGCAGAGTCGGGGATCGACATGGTGGGCCGGCGCCAGGCCCTCAAGGCGCGAGGTCGTCCTCGGGCCCGCCCGAGCCGGGGCCCGCGGCCACCCCGGCGCGGAGGCGCTGGCTGTCATCCGAGTCGCCCTCCGTGGCGCTGGCTGCGCTCGTGTCCTCCGCCTCCTCGACGCCCAGCGCCTCCGCCATGTACTCGAGGCGCGGCCGCCCCCTCGACACCGCGGCCGCCGCCTCGCCCGTGCGCGCCCGCACGGACGAGAGGCAGAGGCCGAAGCGGCCGACCTGGTGGCGGTTGCGGAGGTCGCGCGACAGGTCCCTCGCGAACTGCCAGCCGACGGAGCCCCCGCAGGCGGCGCAGCTGACGTCGGCCACCTCCATGCGGCCCTGCGCGAGCTGCTGGGCGCGCGGAGGCCCCACGACCACGGCGCCGGCGGCGAAGCCGTTGATGTACCAGGCGCCCTCCGTGTCGCCGCCGGGGGGGCACCAGCAGTGCTGCTCCGACAGCACGTCGGAGCGATCCGCCAGCAGGTTCCCGCACGCGCCCCGCCCGCGCTGCCGGCGAGCGCCGCTGCAGCAGAGGGGCTCCGGCTCCTCGCCGCAGGGGCCGTCGCTGTCGACCATGCGGAGGTAGCTTGCGCACACGAGGGCCACGCCCTCGCTTGCACCCCCGGGCCCGCCTCCCGTTGGAAGGGGGTCCGTCGCGAAGGGCTGCCGCGCGAGGGCGACCTCTCTTGGGGGTCCCACGGCGGTGCGGTGACAAACCGCGTGGCGATCTCGACATCCCTATTGACCTCACCGCACGGTCCGTCCCTGCACGGTTTTGGGACCCTGGAGGCCCCAGCCGCCCGAGACATCCTCCAAGAACGACCCGAGTCCCCACACCGTGCGGTGACCCCGAATCTCCACTGGCCTTAGCTGCCCCTATACGCAGCACGCCACACGTAGCGTGTTGCCACGGAGCTCAACACGTAGGCTGCAAACGCAGGTCTGGCGCGATACGTTCGCCAAAGTGTGGACCAACACTTGCCGAGCCAACATGAGGCAGCGTGTTGACGCTGACGGTTCGAACACTGCACGTATTGAGTTTCAACGCGGGCGTATCGTTAGGTCGGGCATGTCCTCCTACAGGCGGATTTTGGAGGAAACATGACAAACAGTCGAAAAGGACACCCCAAGTGCGCAAAAGTACCCCCAACTCGTCCCCATACGATGTTCTTGTTGCGACTGTGTTTGGACAGTCCTCCTGTAGAAGGACACGCCCGATCCGAGCGTGTCGGGGCAGCTGAGCGCCGCCGACTCGCCCTGCGGTGTGGCCACCTCCACGTGCCCGGGGGCCCCCGAGCTTTGTGGGCCCCGGAAACGGCAGGGCCGCTTTTTCACCGTCTCCAAAAAATGTTCCTTGAAGGAAACGGCAAAAAAAGGCGACCGGCAACAAACACGGCTCCAGGATTGGACCCGGAGCCGGAACCGGTCAAAAAACGGAGACGGAACCGGTGAAAAAACGGCGTCGGAACCGGCAAAAAAACGGCAAAACGGAACCGGTGAACAAACGGCCCTGTCGTTTCCAGGGCCCACTAGGCCCCCGAGGCCTCGCCCAGGAAGAGGCCGCACCCGGGGCACTCCAGCGGGGCGCGCCACCTCCCACGCCGCCCGTGCGCGAGCTCGACCGCGGCCTGCGCCGCCAGCGCCCGCAGCCTCTGCGGGGGCACGGCAAGGCCTTAGTGGGCCCTGGAAACGACAGGGCCGTTTTTTACCGGTTCCGTTCTGCCGTTTTTTTGCCGGTTCCGACGCCGTTGTTTTACCGGTTCCGCCGCCGTTTTTTGTGACCGGCTCCGGCTCCGGCTCCAATCCTGGAGCCGTTCTTCTGCCGTTTCCGGTCGCCGTTTTTGTTTCCCCGCATGTTTCGTGGGGTTTTGGTTTTCTTCCCTGCCGCGGCGCACCCGCGTCTCCTCCTCCCCTCTCTCTCCTTCTTACACAGCGCAGCACAGCACAGCACAGCACAGCACAGCACAGCACAGCACAGCACATGCACAGCACCGTAGGGGGTGCGTAAAGGCTGGTCTCTCACCGCGGCCGCTATCCGTGACGGTCGTCCAGGGCACAGCAGGCATGGCATATTCTCGACACCATAGGGGTGCGCAAGGGGTGGTCTCTTACCGCGGCCGCTATCCGTGACGGTGCAGGCGGTCGCACACACCGCGGGCATGGCATATTCTCGACACCAGGGGGTGCATCACCGCGGCCGCTATCCGGTCGTGGCATGGCTCTCCCGCGGACCGCGGGTGACGGTCGTCCAGGGCACAGCAGGCATGGCATATTCTCGACACCATAGGGGTGCGCAGGGGTGGTCTCTCACCGCGGCCGCTATCCGTGACGGTCGCCAGGGCACAGCAGGCATGGCATATTCTCGACACCATAGGGGGTGCGCAGGGGGTGGTCTCTCACCGCGGCCGCTATCCGTGACGGTCGTCCAGGGCACAGCAGGCATGGCATATTCTCGACACCATGGGGGTGCGCAAGGGGTGGTCTCTCACCGCGGCCGCTATCCGTGACGGTCGTCCAGGGCACAGCAGGCATGGCATATTCTCGACACCATAGGGGGTGCGCAGGGGGTGGTCTCTCACCGCGGCCGCTATCCGTGACGGTCGTCCAGGGCACAGCAGGCATGGCATATTCTCGACACCATAGGGGGTGCGCAGGGGGTGGTCTCTCACCGCGGCCGCTATCCGTGACGGTCGTCCAGGGCACAGCAGGCATGGCATATTCTCGACACCATAGGGGGTGCGCAAGGGGTGGTCTCTCACCGCGGCCGCTATCCGTGACGGTCGTCCAGGGCACAGCAGGCATGGCATATTCTCGACACCATAGGGGGTGCGCAGGGGGTGGTCTCTCACCGCGGCCGCTATCCGTGACGGTCGTCCAGGGCACAGCAGGCATGGCATATTCTCGACACCATAGGGGGTGCGCAGGGGGTGGTCTCTCACCGCGGCCGCTATCCGTGACGGTCGTCCAGGGCACAGCAGGCATGGCATATTCTCGACACCATAGGGGGTGCGCAGGGGTGGTCTCTCACCGCGGCCGCTATCCGTGACGGTCGTCCAGGGCACAGCAGGCATGGCATATTCTCGACACCAAGGGGGTGCGCAGGGGGTGGTCTCTGCTATCCGTGACTCTCACCGCGGCTCGCTGCGCAATCCGTGACGGTCGTCCAGGGCACAGCAGGCATGGCATATTCTCGACACCATAGGGGGTGCGCAAGGGGTGGTCTCTCACCGCGGCCGCTATCCGTGACGGTCGTCCAGGGCACAGCAGGCATGGCATATTCTCGACACCATAGGGGGTGCGCAAGGGGTGGTCTCTCACCGCGGCCGCTATCCGTGACGGTCGTCCAGGGCACAGCAGGCATGGCATATTCTCGACACCATAGGGGGTGCGCAGGGGGTGGTCTCTCACCGCGGCCGCTATCCGTGACGGTCGTCCAGGGCACAGCAGGCATGGCATATTCTCGACAGCGTAGGGGGTGCGCAGGGGTGGTCTCTCACCGCGGCCGCTATCCGTGACGGTCGTCCAGGGCACAGCAGGCATGGCATATTCTCGACACCATAGGGGGTGCGCAGGGGGTGGTCTCTCACCGCGGCCGCTATCCGTGACGGTCGTCCAGGGCACAGCAGGCATGGCATATTCTCGACACCATAGGGGGTGCGCAGGGGGTGGTCTCTCACCGCGGCCGCTATCCGTGACGGTCGTCCAGGGCACAGCAGGCATGGCATATTCTCGACACCATAGGGGGTGCGCAGGGGGTGGTCTCTCACCGCGGCCGCTATCCGTGACGGTCTCTCGTCCAGGGCACAGCAGGCATGGCATATTCTCGACACCATAAGGGGGTCCTCAAAGGGTGGTCTCTCGCCGCGGCCGCTATCCGTGACAGTCGTCCAGGGCACAGCAGGCATGACATATTCTCGACAACGTAGGGGGTGCGCAAGGGGTGGTCTCTCACCGAGGCCGCTATCCGTGACGGTCGTCCAGGGCACAGCAGGCATGGCATATTCTCGACACCAGGGGTGCGCAGGGGGTGGTCTCTCACCGCGGCCGCTATCCGTGACGGTCGTCCAGGGCACAGCAGGCATGACATATTCTCGACACCATAAGGGGGTGCGCAGGGGGTGGTCTCTTACCGCGGCCGCTATCCGTGACGGTCGCCCAGGGCACAGCGGTATCGGCGGGGCAACGGCCACCAACATCATTCTCACATGCTTCACTTCAGCTCTCATCTCTCCAGCCATCATATAAGTATGTGGGGTTCATCGGTAGCGTAATTTTTTGTTGCCGTTTCCATGTTCAACGGACCTTTTTTTGGAAATGGTGAAAAAACGGCCTTGCCGTTTCCGGGGCCCACAAAGGGCAAGGCAACTGGAGCAGGTCTTCAATACCGTAGAGGGAAACAACTGGTGGACACTCCCGCGCTGCCCGAAACTCGAAGCTGGCACGCCGCGGGGGGAATAGACGGACGAGTGCGGCATGGGTGCTCGATCATTTCTTCCGAGGCCTGCAACGCCCCCAGTGGTGAGCACAAGTCGCACCTGTTCTCTCGGGGGCGAACTGGGGGCCGCCGGCGCCCAGCAAAAGAAAGATTCCGCCGCCGCTGTCGCCGCCGTTGTCGCCGTCCACTATACTTAAGTCGGGCGTGTCCCCCTACAGGGGGATGATCGACAAAAAAAAAACTTAAAACATATTATATTTTTTCAAAATATACTCAATAAATCATCCCCAGACTATTTCTTGACTATTCTTGAATATCCCTCCTGTAGAGGGACAGGCCAGACTCAAAAAGATACAGAGGACAGGGCGAACAGGGGGGACGCGCAGAGTTGACTGTCAGCCAAAGAGCTCTGGAGAGGGGAGGCCCCGCCGGGAGACATGACATCCTGGGGTCAACGGACCATGGAGGCTGCGCTCTGCCCAGGATCTCGGAGCGAATCCAGTCGTGGCGACCGCCACCAACACCATAGGCAGGAGAGGGAGCAGGAGGAGGAGGAGGAGGAGGAATTTGAATAGGAGGAGGAGCAGGAGGAGGAGGAGGAGGAGGAGGAGGAGAAGGAGAAGGAGGAGGAGGAGGAGGAGGAGGACTCCCCATCCTCCTTTCTCCCCCTTCCTGCCCATGGTAGGTGTAACGGAACACTGGCGACAGGGGATATGCGAGCACGAGGCCCAGCGCGGAGCGGCATCGGTAGCGCTCTCCCTCCAGGGGGGCGAGGGGCCTTTCTGACCAGACCCACTCTCCGGGCGAATCCAGCCATGCCGACGGGGGCCTCCGAGCAGGCCCCCGTCGGCAGGCGAGCGCGAGGCCCTCAGCGGGGGGGCTATGGCGGCACTCGGGAGCCCTCCATGGGCGCGGCGACGGGGGCCTCCCCGCGGAGGCCCCCCCCCGCGGGCGAGCGCGCGAGGCCCCCATCCGAGGAGGCCCCCCAGGGAGGCGAGCCCCAGCCTCCCCAGCGCGGCCTCGCCTGCCGGCAGCGCGCGCGCCCGCCCGGGGCCGCCCGCCGCCGCGCGCGGCGCGGCCGCGGGCGCGGAGGGGCGGGCGCGCAGGGCCGCGGGCCGCGCGAAGCTCGTGGGGCCGTCGGCGAAGCAGCGGAGCGGGCGCCCGCAGGGGCGGCGCAGCTCTGGGACGGAGCCGACGGCGGGGAGGACTGCGGGCGAGGAGGCGCCGATTTAGGGCCTCCGAGATATCTGGCGGCTCTGGAGGATGCCCCGGGCGCCGCGCGGCCTTCTCATAGAGAGCTCCTATGAGCGCTCCGGGGCGCGCTCCGGTGAACGCTCTGGAACACGGACTTCTCCCCGCCCCGGCCCCGTCCGAGGATGGCACAGCTCGCTGGGGTGGCAGAGCTCGAGGCCGCACCGCCGGCAGGCGACGGCGCGCCAGAGCAGGTGCTCGCAGCGCGAGAGCAGGCCACGCGCCGCGGCCGCACAGCGCGAGAGCGGCGAGAGGTCGCGCCGGAAGTAGGAGACGACCAGCGCGAGCACCTCCAGAGGCAGCGCCGCGCACGAGAGCGGGTCCCGCGCGGCGGGGGAGGACGGCGTCTCCATGGACTCCTTGGCGGCGCGCACAGGGGGGAACTGGGGGCAGGTCGGGCATGGCCTCCTACAGGAGTAACTATTTCTGAATATAGCTCCTGTAGAGGGACATGCCCGAGTTCATACGAGGAAGAGGGGGGCGACCTGCCAGAAAGGCAGGGGCTCTCTTGGGAGTGGTCGGCAGACCCCGAGAGGCCTCCAGGAGAGCTCACCACGGGCAGGAGCACTTCTGTGAGAGGCCAGGGCGCTGCCCCGACGTCGTGGCGTTCCACCACGACGTGGGGCTTACGAAGCACTCGACACAGGCCGCCTCTCTCGGCGGCGAGCGAGGGGGGGAAGTGAGGAGGAGAAGGCCCTCTCAGAAGGCGGCGGGACCTCTCAGAAGCCCTCCTGCCTATTCTGGGAAGCTGTTTTATATGCCTTCGGGGAAGGCTTGCACAACTTCTCGGCAGCCTTCCGAACCTTCCGAGGCAGCCTCCTCCTTCTCTGGAGGGCAACAAAACGCCCTAACACACAACCCTTTGGCGCTCCGCGCGGATTTCTTGGATCCGCGCTGGGCCCCCCTCCCTGGCGCGCGGAGAGCGCCCCATGGGTGGCGACGGAGGCCCTCACACGCTTCGTGGCCCCATATAAGGAGCTCAACCGGAGGCCCCAGCGGAAGCGCTCGCATGGCACCGCCGCTTCAAGCTTGGACGCTCGAAATGGGCACGGAAAAGATGGGTACAATGCCCAACAACAAATGTTGCCCCAAACCGACAGCGGCAGGCGGCATCCTGCTTCGAATGGAGACAGGCCGCGGCGGCGCGGACAGCGAGTCCTGTTCAAAAGGAACAGGAACTGCTGAGGGGCACTGTACCCATTCTTTCCGTACCCATTTCGATCGTGCAGATTCAATACGTGGTCCCCCGAAGTCTCGACCCATTCCCCAGGACCGGTTTTTCATCCTGAGTCGTTTTTTGACGTTCCCGGGGCCCGGCGAGGGCCCCTGTAGAGGCCGAAAATCGAGAAAAACCTCCGTCATGTTTCTTTCAATACGTTGGAGGTCTGGGGCGTGGGGTCCACACGCGGAAGAGGGGGCCGACAGGGCACGGCAAGAGTCGGGGCGTCGGGTGCCATGGGCGTCCAGATCAATTCCGGCACACCCATCTCGGGGCCCCTCCAACGGGGACTGCACTAACGGGTACTTTGGCCAGTGACCCGGCGAATCTAACCCTCCTCGATGTGGGCAACGCTGCAATGCCAGAAAGAGGCCCTAAAGTGGCAACTTCTGGCAAATCTCCTGAGTACCCGTTAGCGAATACCCGCTACGGTGCCGCTGACCACCACGCGCCTCGCAGCCCCGTGGGGAGCCACCGCAGGCCCGAGTGGCAGCGCCCGGCGGCCGGCGCCCGGCGGCGCCTCGGGCACCGCCGGAGGCGCCGCGGGGGGGGGCGACTTCTCCGCTCTCTAATAAGACTTAGTGAAAACGATCTGAGGCCAAACCTGGCGGGCGCAAGCCTGGAAAATGACGGCCGCGGCGCCCTCTCGAGAACCGAACACGGGCAATTCACGAATCGACGTGTCACTGTTGGGGGTTCTGCCCACCCCCGATTAACTATAAGACTTCGCTTCCCGCTTCCCCCCCCCGGGCTCGCCGGCGACTCTCGTCGCAGGTCGTCCCCGGCGGCCCCCAGAGGCGGGACCGCGGGCCTACGCGTGCAGGGCGGCCCGGAGCTCTCGGCAGATATCTCTGCAGAATTTTACTCTAGAGAGCTTAGTAGCCGCTTCGCTTGTTGGGGAAGCTCTGCGAGGCATCCTGGAGGTTACCATGGATGGCCAAATCTCTCACAATGGTTCGAAACACCGAGCCCAGGTCATCACAAGTTGCAATCTGGCCCGATCGGCGAACTATAGCTCCACCCTGCCGCGGAATTCCTCATCCTTTATCGCACCCCGCGGTGTCCCCGGGGCGCCGGGAGAGCGCCCGAGGAGGCCCACCAGGCGCCCAGATCGTGGGGTATACCAGATTTTTGCCGGTCGCGCGCGGTACAGCGACCGCTCGGCACTCCAAAGCGGTCGCGACCCATCGCGGCCGATCCCAGAATCGGTCGCGGCCGGTGGCCACGGAGCACGGCCGACCGGTCGCAAGCGATCGGTCGCGGCCGATGCTGAAGCAGGTCGGTCGCGACCGACACCGAACTTTGAGGCAACATCGGTAGCGACCGATCTCGTCGGTCGCGTCTGGAAAATCCCAGTGTCCAACGATCAGGGGGGAGGGGGGCCTTTGGTAGGCTCCTCCGTCGGCGCGCCCGTCCCCGAGGCGACAGGAGAGCGCCGGAGGAGGCCCACGGTGGGGGGGGGGGGGCCTTTTGTGGGCTCCTCCGTCGGCGCGCCCGCGACCACCTCTTGACCAGGGACCGATCGTCGTGGTGTCCCTATAGGAGCCTGCCGCGAAGGATCCATGGAACAGAAGTTGAAGAGCCGTTCCAGTGGCACCGAGGCAGTGCTCCCAGAACGTGAGGCCGACGCCTCGAGACAGGACCCTCTCGGCCAGAAGTGTTCGAACACACCTCGGCGGCGACGTCAGAGCTCTACTGCCACCAACCATCGATTCTCCTGAATCGATGGGAGGCGAGGTAAGGGTTAGGATTTCGCCACGTGCTCGACGAATGCCGAACCCTGCTCCCGCCGCCGCCCATCGAGTTGCCTGCATCGTTGATCGGCGAAGGCAGGGTTGGGATACCGCCACTTAAACGTGTTGACAGGTGTCTCAGGACATCGCATGGGTGGGCTTACGATGGCAGGCGAAGGCGCCTCTGGAGGACGAACAACTGCACAAACGTAAACCTTTGGAGTTCCGCGCGCATCTCTTCGATCTGCGCTGGAGACCCCCTCCCCGGCGCGCGGAGCGGCGCCAGAGGTTCGGGGTCCCCCCCGGCGCAGATTCACAAACTCCGCGCGGACCCCCCCAGGAAGGTTTTGCTTCTGCAGCCCTGTCGCGGGCGTTGGCAGAACTGGGTTTCTAGTAGTGGGACCTGGTTCAGCGATGTGCACCTCGGGGGACGACCCCCCCGCCCCATTGCACTAACCGGAGCTGCCGTCACCCCAAAAAACACCGGCTATAGTAGAAGTATGTTGGGGTGACGCCGGTGGGGTCCTGGCTGTAACCCCAAAGGGTCTTTAGTAAACCCCCAGGCAATGAAGGGAAAATCCATAATTTTTCTGCTGGCTTATTGACGGATTGGGACCCCGACACTAGTTGGGAATTAATTATTCTCGTCGGCGGATGCATGCATCGACGTCGTCGTCGCCGTCTTCGAGGACCTCTCCCTCTCCTCAGCTTCGCCGCCGCTCGAGGACCTCTGCGCCGCTGCGCCCGCGCAGCCGCCGCCGAAGGCCGCGCCGCAGGGGCAAGCAGGTCACCCTGGCCGCCGACGCGGCGGCGGCGCGGGCGCCTCCGGCGAGCCCGCCGGCGCGCGCCGCCGGCGGCCGCCGGCTCGGCCGGTGCCGGGCGCGATCTCGGCCACGCTTGGCTTAGGTCGGGCATGCCCCCCTACAGGCGGACCTCGGACGAAAACTAAAACGTGTTTAGAAAATGCCCAAAGCTGGCCAAACAATAGTCAAAACACATCGCCCCCGACTATTTTTTACTGTTTTCGGATCTTCCTCCTGTAGAGGGACGTGCCCGACTTAACGCTTGGCCGGCCTCCCTGCGGCGCAGCTCGGCGGCGCGGTGACCGGCGGGCACGATCGGCGCGGGCCTCGCCCAAGGCGGCCCGGTGAGCGAGGGAGGGCTCCTCCGCCGGCACGGCGCTCTTGCAGCTGCAGCGCCCGCGCGGGGCAGCGAGTGGCCCTGGGGGACCCTGACCTTCCAGGAGGGCTAAAAAATAGCACCCGACTTAAAAACCTATCCCAAAGCTATTCTACGTCTTGGTTTTAGGCTGGTTCGCTCAGCTTTTGAGGTTTTTAGGTCTCCAGTGCTAAAAAATAGCTCTCTGGAAGGTCAGGGGAGGTGGAGGGCCTCAGCCGAAACGGCTACTCCGCGCTGCGCCAGGAGCACCCAGACGGCACAGTACACCTGCCCGACGGCCCCCCAGGTCAGATCGAGGTGTTCCGACTGGGCTCCAAAGCAGAGCCTCAGGAACCCCGAGCCTCTTCCAAATCCAACGCCTGAACGATTTCGATGCTACCACTGCGTTCGTGTAGAATCAGTGGCTTGCGGCGGTGGCCAACTACTGAGCATCCCTCTCCTCGATCCTCCCCCCTCCCCCTCCCCCTTCCCCTCTTCCTCCTCCTCCTCCTCCTCCTCGTCCCTCTTCCTCCTCCTCCTCCTCCTCCTCCTCCTCCTCCTCCTCCTCCTCCTCCTCCTCCTCCTCCTCCTCCTCCTCCTCCCCACCCCCCCTCCTGTCGCCCCTCCTGCTGCTCCTTATCCACGCAGCCGGAGGAGAAGGAGAAACAGCAGCAGCAGCAGCAGCAGCAGCAGCAGCAGCAGCAGCGGCGGCGGCAGCAGGATGAGCAAAGAAGAGGGGCAGCAGGGGCGGGAGAGGAGGCAGGACACCCTGCTGGCAAGGCCTCGAGGCGCCACAGCGAAATTCCCGAGGGAACGCGCCATGAACCCCCTCTGGAGGCCCCCGGAAACTCCTGGCGGCTCCGTGACTTGCCCTCGGAGGCCACCTGCTCCTCTCCTTTCTCCACCTTCTGCCCATCCCTGCCTTTCTCCTTCTCTTCCTCCTCCTCCTCCTCCTCCTCCTCCTCCTCCTGCTCCTCCTCCATCTCGTCCGTCCTCGTCGTCACGTCCTCGTTCGTCCTCCTCGTCCGTCCTCCTCGCCCGTCCTCCTCGTCCGTTCTCCTCTTCCTCGTCCGTCCTCGTCCCTCTTCCTCGTCCGTTCTCGTCGCCCTTGGAAGAAGGGGAGTCTCTGGACGGCCGCAGGAAGCCTTTCGGACGCACGCACCCACACGCACACAACACTCAACACACACACAGGATACCTAGATTCCCCAATCAATGCTTGCACTGAAGGGGTCCTAGCGGAAGTTGAAAAATGTGGCGAAAGTCCGCCGATTTGGCTAGCAGGCTGGGATCCCGGGTTCCCAGGTTCCCATTATTAGTTCCGGGCCGATTTCGGTTGGTTCTGGGTTTCCGGGCTCCCGGGTTCCCAGTCGATCTCCTCAGCCAAACCCATCGACTGATTGTGGTTTCCCATATTTAAATATACACACATACATATGTATATATATATATATATATATAGACTAGAACCACGCGCGCTACGCGCGCGCTTAGGTTCTAGTCGCAGATGAGGCACAGGTGCCGCTGTAAGCCCTGGTGTGCTCACAACGACGATTTCCAGCGTTCTCGGGCCCATACCATCGACGCAAAGAAACGCGTAGTCAGTACGCTCTCGCTCTGCCCGGACCGCCCTGGAGGGGTGGGAAGGGGAAAGCAAGTTGTGAAATGATAGGGTATAGCGATGCCCCGCTCGCTCTGGCGGGGCCTGTCTGGCGCTCTGGCGGGGCCCTCCCAGGAGAGGAGGGAGGAGCACGAAAGCTGAGGGGTGAGGGGAGGACGAGGAGAGAGGAGGGAATGGAGGAAAGGGGAGGGGGCGGGAGGGAAGGAGGGACGGAGGGGGGGAGGCCCGGGCCATCTGGGCCGTCTTGGAGCGCTCAGAGGCCTCCCGCTCCCGCTCTGTGGCCCAGCTTGGGCCTGTCCTGGGGTTTTCTTGGGACGTCTGGGGCTCCTCCTGGACTATTTTCGGGTTCCCTGGGGCCGTCTTGGGGCTCTTTTGGGCGCCTCTTCGGCGGTCTCGGGGCGGTCTTGGGGGCGTCTGCGGCCGTCTTCGAGCATTGGAAGCTCGCGAACGCGAGAAAGCGAAAAACAGCGAATAAACAATGCAAATCAATGATGTGGGCAACTTTGGGCTCTCTCGGGACGTCTCTCGGAGCTCGCTTGGGCCCTCTTGGAGGCCTTTTTGGCTGTGTTTTTGCTGTCTCGAGCTCCTCTTGGGCCACGTTGGAATCATCTCGGCCGTCCTGGAGCGCCCTGGGGCCTCCCGCTCCCGCTCTGGGGCCCATCTTGTGCCTCTCCTGGGATTATCTTGGGCACTTCTGGGTTTCTTTGGGCCCTCTCGGGGGCGTCTCTCGGAGCTCTCTTGAGCCCTCTTGGATGGAGGAGGGAGGAGGGAGGAGGAGGAGGAGAAGGAGGAGGAGGAGGAGGAGGAGGAGGAGGAGGAGGAGGAGGGGGAGGAGGAGGCTCTCGGAGCTCTCTTGAGCCCTCTTGGAAGCCTCCTGGCCTCTCGGGCCTGCAGCTCCCGCCCTGGGGCCCAGCTCGGGCCTGCCCTGGGGCTCTCTTGGGCCGTCCGAGGCTCGTCTCGGGTAAGTTTCGGGCTCCCTGGGGCAGCCTTGGGGCTCTGTTGGGGGCCTACTCGGCGGTCTCGGGGCGATCTTCGGGGCGTCTTCGGCCGTGTTGGAGCGTTGGGAGGTCGAGATCGCGAGAAAGCGACAAACATCTGAAACAACTACCGGAAATCAAAGATATGGGCCTCTTCGGGCTCTCCCGGGACGCCTCGCGGAGCTCTCCTGGGACCTCTTGGAGGGCTCTTGGGCTGTGCATTGGCCGTGTTGGGCCCATCAGGGCCGTCTTGGGGCGCCTTGGGGCCTCCATCCCCGAAGGGAACCCACGAGGCCTGGAGGCCCCAGAGGCCGCTGGAGGGCCCCACCCGCGGCTCCAGGAGCCCGCCCCGGCGACCCCCGACAGCAGAGGGACGAACATCCACCCCGAGAACTCGCCACCGCTCGGACGTCCAGTCCCCGTGTTTTTTGTTTGTCGGTTCCGTGCGTGGCTGTTTCGCCAAATGATCAAGGGTGCTCCTAGATGGTCCTCGCCGAGGGAAACATGCACACGTCCGAGCGATGCCAAGAGAAGAACCACCCCGACGCGCGAAGCCGTTTCGCAAACGCACCCAGAGAAGGAAGCCAACCGGGCAGGGCTGTTTCCATAGTAAAAACGCCCAAAGGCCGTTTAGTAAACGCCAATTGTCCGGTCTCCCCTCCTCCTCCCTCCTCCCATGCCTGCCTCTGCCCGCCCTCCGCATGTCCACTTCGGCACACCCCTCACACGAGGAGGAGGAGGAGGAGGAGGAGGAGGAGGAGGAGGAGGAGGAGAAGGAGGAGGAGGAGAAGGAGGAGGAGGAGAAGGGAAGGAGGAGGAGGAGGAGGAGGAGGAGGAGGAGGAGGAGGAGGAGGAGAAGGGAAGGAGGAGGAGGAGGAGGAGGAGGGAGGAGGAGGAGGAGGAGGAGGAGGAGGGAGGAGGAGGAGGAGGAGGAGGAGGGTGGTTTTCCCTCCCTTGAGAGAGCCCCTGCGCGTGGCCCGACCCGGCGCGGTGCGCGCTGCGCGAGGCGCGCGGCGCATCCTCTCTGCCCGCTCGCGCCGCCCCTCCTCGGGAGAAGAGGCGGCTCTCCGGCACGCCCCCCGCGAGCCGCGGCTGCGCGCCATTGTCGCCGCGTCCCTGCGCGTGGCACGGTGGTCCGCCGCGAGGCGCCTCGGAGGCCCCTGCGTCTTCTCTGCGTGAGGTGGGGGGGGGGTAGTGTTGCAGTCCTCGGGCGACCATACTCTGCGCTTCTGAATGAGCGTGGGGGGGGGGTACCCCCCGACGGGGGTCAACCTCGCCTCGTCGTCGCGCCGCGACGGGGGTCGGAGCGCCTTCGGCGCGTGGCGGCTGCCCGCGACGAAGGTCGATGTAGGGCTGTCGGCGGGGGTAACGCCACCCCGACGCTGACTAAGAAAGTCGGAGTAAGTGAAAGGGCCCTGGGACACACACAAATAAATACACTCAAATAACAAGATTCCAAATTTGTTCCATATTTGTTTGATTTTCGTCTTCCCCCCCACTTCCCATATTTTTGCATATTTTCCTGGGAATCGACGATGAATTGTGTCTCTGTGTGTTTTTCCCTCCTGAGTAAGGAAGGCATAGGCATAAGAAGGAAAGCAGGGGCGCTTCTGGCCACGGCGGGCCTAGGCCACCCGCAAGCTTCACGGCACAGAGCTGAGGAACGACCCGGAAACCCGAGCCCATCCTGAGCCCAGAGCGGCCCTCGTTTCAGCGCCCCGACTGTGCGCCGAGAAGCGCCCTCGATGGGCAAGTGGGCACGGGGGAGAACCAGAATCGAGCAGGGACCGACCGTCCCGGCATTCCTATAGTCATACCACGAAATGCTCTTAGAATCCAAACTAGTTCTCATAACAAAATCAGTGTTCTTAGAACAGAAGCCCGATGTGTGAAAACAAGACGGTCCCAGCCAGAGATGTTCTAAGAACATATCGTGGGAATCTCAAAAAAGGTTTTTAGAACATGGTTTGGTGGGGCTATAGGCGAGCCGGGACGCTTCGCCACTGCTTGACAGAAGCACGGCACCGCCCAGAGCGGCCCTCGTTTCAGCGTCCTGACCGTGCGCCGAGAAGCGCCCTCGATGGGCAAGTGGGCACGGGGGAGAAGGAGGAGGAGGAGGAGGAGGAGGAGGAGGAGGAGGAGGAGGAGGTGGGGTGGTGGTGGGGGGGGGGGTGAGAAGCAGAAGCACGGCAGCGCCTGCTTCGGCCTCGCCGGCAGCCGGCCCGGTCCTGGCGAGCATGTCCGCCAGGTCGTTGATCTGCTTCTCGCCCTGCGCGCCGCCGCGTGGCCGGGCGGGGCGCCAAGAGGCCGCGAGGGGAGGCGGAGGCGCGGGGGGGGGGGGGGGCAAGGGGGAAGGCTGAGATCAGGTCGGGCATGTCCTCCTACAGGCGGGCTCTGGAGGACACATTGATTATAGTCGAAACATCTATTCAATTATCCCAGTGCGACCCTACCTAGGAGTTGGAGCCTCTAGGACAGCAGAGCAACATGAAATAAGCTAAGCTAAGATGAGATAAGCAACGCTAAGCTAAGGGGACGTAACTGGGGGAACTGCGGGGCGGATACTGGGGGAACCGCCCAGGGCGCTTTCCACTGCCCGGCCCCTTTAAGCCCAGAGAGTAAGAACCCTTCTAGGCAGAGCCCAGGTAGGGAACAATAGATAGACAAACCTAGTATCTAAGAAATGCCCCCCGTGCATGTTTGAGACAGCTATTGGTGCAGATCCTCCCTGTACGGGGACGTGCCCGACCCAGGGCTGGGAGCTCGAGCGGCACGCGCAAGCACGCCAAGCAAGGCGAAGGAGGCGAGGGGAGGGCACGGGGGGAGATTACAGTGTACCCTCCCCCCGTGCCCTCCGACGTGTGTAATACACACGTCGGGAGCCTGTGCGAAAGCAGCGAGGGCGACGAGGCCTCCTTTTTTGGTCGCGGCCGCGAGACAAGCATCAGGCGGCGAAGGCAACGTCCGGGCCACGGGCGAGGCTAATTGGCTAAAACAGGAGCGTCGGCCGGCCCCCTCAGACGGCAGCTGCAGGCTGGGTGTCGACGAGGCCTCCGCGGAGGGCCGAGACGTCGGGACGGCGGCAGCCGAGTCGAAAGGCACGACATTCATCGCGGGGACGGGGGGCTACAGTCGGCCTGGATCATAGGGATGCGCGAGAAGGGTGCAAGGGCCTTGGACGCCCATTTTGATGCGCGAGAAGGATGCAAGGGCCCTGGACGCCCATTTTGAGGCGTTTCGAGCGGGGCGCTGCCAACGAGAGTGGCCGACGATGGACCGAGGAGGCAAGGATGCAAGGGTACCCGTGGCAAGGATGCCCATCCTGATTGTGCGGGTTCACTGTAGAAGATGAAAAAGCGACATACACATAAACTTGTGGCGCTCCGCTCGGATTTCTTGGATCTGTGCCGGGCCCCCCTCCCTGGCGCGCGGAGCGCGCCAGGGGCGGCGCCGGAGGCGCCGCTGGGGGGGGGCCAGCGCGGATCGAAGAAATCCGCGCGGAGCGCCAAACATTTCTGTCCGTATAGCGCTCTTTTCTCGGGGGTGGACAGAACCCCCCCTCAGTAAAACGCGGTTCAGTGAAACCGATCTCGGGCCCAAACCTGGCGGGCGCAAGCCTGGAAAATGGCGGCCGCGGACAATTCACAAGCCGACGTGTCCGAGTGGGGGTTCTGTCCGCCCCCGACGCTGCTTTTTCTTCTTCGAGAGGCAGAGGAGCTCAGCCCAAGCAGAGGGGAGCACAAAGTGACTCGAAGAGTGGCCCCCCGTGACGGGCGGGAGGGCGCATCGCTGTGATACTCATCTCCATGGACCGCCCTGCGCGTATATGAAGTCATGGGCTGCCGTATATGTTGTGTTTTACTTTTTTGGGGGGATCGTTTTTTGTTCGCTCGCTTCGGTCACGGAACCAAGTTGCGCGCTGCTTTTCTTCGTTCGGGGGCAGCGTAAAAAGCTGCAGGAGTCGGGGCGCGGTCTTGCGCGGTGCTGGCCTTCGGGGGAAGCGCTGCGGCAGGTCGTGGGCACGGGCGGGGCCAGGATCTCGGCGGCGGCAGCGCGGAAGACCGCTGGCCAGCGGCTCTGATTGCCACTTTCGGCTTCCAGAACCAAGAGGCGCGACCGAGCCGCTGGACATGAATTGGCCCTTGTGTCCAGTAGCACCACATTGAACATGGGTCGCCACGCCGACATGAACACGGCGCTGGGCGGAAGGCAGTGTCTGCGCATCCTGCTCCTCCTCTTCCTGTCTCCAGCGCTGCTGCTTCTATCGCCCCTCCTGCTTCTACACGTTCCCTCCCGTCCAGAATCGGCCTACAACTGGCCTCTGGACGTCTTCCAAGTGGCCACAACTGTGACACCGAACTTCACTCGCACCCCTAGGAATATACGCGTGATTGTTGTGCGAGCTCCGTCCTGCTTCATGACCACGCTGGCAGGAACAATAAGAGGAGGACGTTTGATGATACTCCCGGAAAAAAGTGTGGTGCATGAACATGAGCACGCGGGAAGATGAAGGGGCGGAAAAACAAGGGGGAGCAGTACGACGTAGACAATAGGAATACGGTGAAGGAGAAGTCGGCATCTGAAAAGACTGAGAACGAAGAGAGGATCAAAGAGGAAAATTACGGAGATCACGCGCAAGAGCAGGGACGAGAAAGAGGGGCATCTGGAGAGACTGGAGACGAAGAGGGGGTCGATGGCGAAGAGCACGAGCAAGAGCAGGGGGGACTGAGCAGGAGGGACAGGAGCGGAGGACAGGACAGAACAGGCGCAAACAAAAACGTCTTATCTTAGATCCGCTTATCATCGTTCCTTCCTCCTCCTCCTCCTCCTCCTCCTCCTCCTCCTCCTCCTCCTCCTCCTCCTCGCGCTCTGCGCTGCTCCTCCTCCTCCTCCTCCTCCTCCTCCTCCTCCTCCTCCTCCTCCTCCTCCTCCTCTTCACTCCTCCCCGCGCTCTGCGCTGCTGCCCGAATCGAGCCAGCGATCGAGAGCAGGGCAAAACTCGTCGCCCTGAGGGCGGAAAAGATCGCCTCGGAGCCAACGGAAACCACCGTCGATGTGCTCCTGTCGACGGCTAGTTGGCTGCCATCGTTCGTGGGCATTCTGCGTCGGGCTTGCCGATCTTGGCGCTGAGATTGCGTCCTGGAACGAAGGCTGGCTGTCCCGAAAGATCCGATCCCTCGCGAAGATGCGCAGCTTGTTTGGAGCGGCGGTTGCTACAGTCCCGATGTCAGAGGTCTTGAGACTGGAAAGGTGCCCCAGCGCGGCAACCTGCCCAAGGAGGGGGGGCTCGGTGAGTTGAAGTGCGATGTCGCGCAGCACGAGCCTGTCGAAGCCGACCAGGCGGAGTGGGGCAACCCATCGAGCCTGGTTGCCTAGCGGCTGCTCCGCTGGATGGCCGCGTACAACTCCCGCGCTGGACGCGCGTCGATGTCTGCGCTGCACGGTTTCCCCCGGGGCCGTCGGCGACCCGAGGAGGAGGAGGAGGAGGAGGCGGAGAAGGAGGAGGAGGAGGAGGCGGAGGAGGCGGAGGAGGCGGAGGAGGAGGAGGAGGAGGGGTCGCCTAAGCCCTGCGGAGAAACCCTCGCGCAGCCATTGGGTGAGATGCATCTGCGATGCGGGCGTCGATGCCGGTTTCGTCGGCGGTGCGCTCCTCTCGAAGGGAGGGCTTCCGCTGAGAGTGAGGGCCGCCTCGGCCATGCTCTGGCGGGCCTGCGGTCGGCCTGCGTCGACCTGGTGGCTACAGGTGGCCCAGGGACACACGTGAGTACACACACAAATCCCAGGATCCCCTTATTCCCTACCTAGGCTCTGCCTAGAAGGGTTCTTGCTCGGTAAGCTTAAAGGGCCGGGCAGTGGAATGCGCCCCGGGCGGTTCCCCCGGCATCCGCCCCGCGGTTCCCCCAGTGATGTTCCCTTAGCTTAGCGTTGCTTATCTCATCTTAGCTTATCTTATTTTATCTTAGCTTAGCTTCATCTTAGCTTAGCTTAGCTTCATATAAGTGTTTGATGTTGTTTTCCTAGATCCTCCAACTCCTAGGTAGGGTCGCACTGGGATTATGTTGTTTCAAATGTTTTCTTGATTTTCGCCTCCCCCCCCGATTTCCCACATGTTCCCCTCATTTTCTGGGGATCTCTGCCATGGCACCCATTGCTGACCTTGTCTCTGGTGTGGCGCCTGTTCAAGTACCTCGCCAACGCGCGGCGTCCGAATGTCACCCGTGCCGCAGTCGCTGCTCGCCACTGCCCGGCAGCATCTCGTCGTTCGTCTGCCAGGTGCTGCCCGATTGCTGCGACGACCTCCTGCGTGCGATGCACGGCTCGTCGAGACTGGTGGCCGCGCCCTGCCTCAGGACGAGGCATTTCGCCCCCCAAGGGTTGGTGAGGTCTCGCGCGTTGACTCCGGATTGCTCTCGCGATGGTCCTGAAGGTCGAGATGTGAGCCCCAAGATCCCCTTCCCGCGCGGCGCTTCCCTCATGCTCTGGTTCGTAGTGGTCCAACTGTGCTCCGTGGGAGCTTGTG